GCACATGGACTATTCCAACCACTCCCCTCAGGCAGGAGGCTGCGGTCCATCAGGACTAGAACCTCCCGCCACAAGAACAGTTTCTTCCCCTCTGCTGTTGGACTCTTGAACACTTCTTAACCTGTCCCCCCGCCCTTTATAAAGTCACTTTACTGCCCATCATACGTCACTTTACTTCACTGTACTGCTGTCACCTTACATTGTGTGCACCATGTGCACTTGTATATTGTAAATAGTAACTGTAACTCTATTTTAAATTTAAATTTATTCTTTAGAAGTGTTTTTTATTCTTATTTTTATTATCTCTTTTTGACTGTTGCACTGAGCCAAAGCAATTTCCAAGTCTGTGACCTCCCGTTACTTACGTTGGCAATAAAAATGATTCTGATTCTGATTCTGATTCTTCAGGGTGATGGAAAACTGACCAGTTATAGTGTCTTGTTAGCTATAGGCTAGAAAGTAAACTTTTCATTTCAAACCAACACGGCTCTCATCATTATCACTTTGTGTATATTCAATTGAGAGGTAAACAACATTATTATTCATACAGTAACAGTGGGGGTTGAGACAATTAATAATGTAAGATTGAAGGAGGCACTAATAGGCAGCCTCAATTATGTATAGGCTCAGATATTCCAAAGACACAAGGTCATTGCCAGTCAAACTCCTGTCTGTATCGTCCAAGACACAACAAGGTAGACGTGTCCCAAACATTATCCTGACCCAGTGGCAACAATAATTCGATAAAGTCAAAGGCCCCAGACAGAAATACGATCAGGTATCGCATGGGAGAACCTCAGCAGGCCCTAAAATTAAACTGTCCTTTGACACATGCATTAATTAAACATTGATTCTGATCCTTTGTCAAGACAGCAACTACAGTATTGCTGCATGTTACACACCACCCAAAACATTATGATCACCTTAAAAGGTTGGATACCTAACTTTCAAACCATGAAAAAATTAATCATGTAATAAAATCCATGTGATAGTTAACCTCTTTCCATTTAAAATGCTATTTAAAAATGAAGTGCAGATTGAGGTGTGACACCAGCACAGAGCAAGAAAAGGTGGATTGTCAGTGAGTGTTTGGGACTGTGTCTTTATTTTGCATTAGTTTGAAATGAAAATATGTTACATACTAAAAGTTACTTTCAGTGGTTAATTCCCTAGTTTTTACATGCATACAGTATATGCTGTGTAAGTATTTTTGGCTCCATCTTTCAAAAAAGTGAAAAAGAGAGGCTTATCCTCACTTGCAATCACAGCTTGCAGCTTACAACTATTTCATTGATCATCAAAAAATGTATTCAAACACTACTTTCTTCTTGAGAAGGTTATCTAAAGTAATGAGAAATAGTTTTAGTTGTCCCTGGAGGCTTACTGCTGGCTGTTTTGTCTCAAGACCAAAATGTCACCAGTGCCCTCCTACTTAAAGGTCACAAACATATTTTGTCCCTTCAACATAAGCATTTCAGTTACATATGAGCTTGGACGAAAGGAAGCAATGAGGAAAGAGCCGCTGGTGTAAAAGTCATAAAATACTATAAAGCGTGATTGATAATGAGCAACATAATTAATTAAAGAACCCACAGATTTTAATTATTTTATTTACTTTGGAAGGTCCCATTAAAATCAATACAAAATATATATGTTACTTGTTTTGGTACTAGGAAGGAAGGAAACACTATTCCTTACAAGTATACAAAAAATAAAATGTTTGTTGTTGAAGAAAATATGTTGCTGTTGTTCACAACATGTTACTTTTACAAGACTCTTTATGTTGGGACAATCAAAAAGTATTAGGAGAAAAAAAAGTTATATTCCCCATCTTTAATACAGGCCTCTATACATACACTATAATTACTGATTGACTCAACTGTCCCTGCCCCTTTAAGATGTGCTTGTGTGGATCGGTCGGCCAGGTCTCTGCAGGTGGAAGGTGAGATGGAGGAGATTAAACGGGGGCAGAAGGCTCACACCATATTGTGAGCAGCTCTGGAGAAAGCTGTTTGGGAGGAACTCAGTGAAGCCTGGCATAAAGCCTTCTGAAAATGAACTTTAAAGTTTAGAGTTTATATATACGGTGCCAGTAAACTTAACTTTGATTCAAAGATGAAACAAAACAGAGGCTAATGCAGAAGTAACATGATAAATACCCTGCATTACCAAGTCATTTTCCATCTTATTTGTTTTCTGTAACTATACAATGGCTGGGTTTTTCTTTAACTAATATACACTATGTGTAGTAGGCTTCTGCGACTAACGATGTCATGTTGTTTAATGTTGTACAGGTGAAAATCTGAAAATTAGAAGAAATCCCTTTACTTCTACAATTCAACTCACAATGTGGAAAGATACACAACCTTTTTAAAAGAATATCTTTTTTAACCAAAATAGTACTTTTGACATGCTTGCTTTGGTTTACAATAGCCTCTGATACGTACATTGTCTATCTTTGAAATCCAGACAACATCTTATCTTGAAGTCTGTTTATGACAATAAAACATTTGTGACAATACTACAATAGTACAACACAAACAGAATCACTTTTTGTGTTGTACTATTCCCACCTCGGAAAAATGTGGCAACTGAGTAAAGCAACAGTGGGGATGAGATGTAGATTCCTAAATAGTAGATTTGGAGCCTAACCTGTCAACCACATAAAAGACATTCCCCCAAGGACTTAATTTCCAAGAATATCAATAAGCGGTGAGGAAAAAATACAAAGAGCGTATCAGCTGCTTTCTTTTGGGGCCGCAAAACAACATATTCATAAATACAGTGGCAACGTTGTGGCGGTATGTAAATGTGCTCAATTGTTACGTGTGGTTTATTCTCTTCTTCGTAGAAATACGCTGTGGTTAATAATCTATTGAAAGATTTTTGTTTTGTTTACAAGCGAGAACATATTTTATTTACGTCCTGCGGTGAGCTCCAGCTGCTATAAAGTCAGATAATATAGGCCACAAATCAGTGAACCACTATGAATCAACAGGAGGTTTCTCAACAGGCACAATACTGCGACGTAATGGGTTTTTCTGATTGTTATTCTGGCGTGAATCCCACATGTACAGTATATTATTATGGTGGCAACATAAATAGTTTATAGGCCATCTGGCTGAACACTACTTCTGTGAGCACATTAGCATTTAAAAATTGTCAAGTGCCAAAATTATCATTTTTGGACACATTTCTGACTTTTTACTTTCATTGACCTGTATCTGTGAGGGAATATGACAAAATATTATGGCAGACACTATTACGTTGTACAATTAAAAATACAATAGTCAACTAAGCCTAAACCTTACAGATCTGTAAAAGTATTGTACATACTTTTTACTGACAGAAGTTCCTCTTGATGTAAAGCTGTCCATTGAAATTACATTAGTTTGATACGGTTTAATATACTTAACGTAATTGGTTTAGCATACAATAGATATATATACTTTATAGTTTGTTTGAAGATAAAAATCAATACTTTTTAAAATCATATCTGTACACCCATTTGCCTTAGCTGCTGTGGAAATTATTTGGAGGCATGACATTTTAGCACTTAAAATCAAACTTGAAAAAGATTACAAACACAGTGAGCTTCAAAAACTCTTATCCACTGAAAATATTGATGCTCCTCCATGGCACTTATCTATTCAAAGTGCAAACAGTTTAATTTTGTGCACCACTTATCCAATATCCATCCTGAAATTGCCATCTCTCAAGTGTTATGTTTTATGCCTCAAGGATGCCACCTGCAGAAGAGCCCCCTACCGTTGTATAAAAACTGTTTCATCTGAACCACATAGCTACAAAGACCCCAGTGATATGCCTCCCGGTTATGACTCTAAAGGATCCCAGGGCGGCACCGGAGAACTGGCACCGACTTCAAAGATACCACACTGTGAATACTCCCGTGGACCCCTACTGACATCCTTGTGCAACTTTTAACAAAATAAATGTTGAGAAAATGTAGACAATATCCCCAGCCTTCATTCTGCTTAGAAAATTGAGTTATTTGATGTTGTTATTGGAGAAATTGGATCTTTTTGACTGGGTTCATCTCTTAAGGCGAAAAATATAGGACTACACCCAGGCGCTGTATTCCAACACCGCCGAACCGAAGGGAGGTTATTAGTTGAAATTGGATGCGGAAAACAAGCGGCTCCAGGAGATCCTCAATGAAACTAGTGTAATAATATTAGAAACTCAAAGAGGCGCATAGAAAATATAATGCAAAGTCTCTACCACAAGCCTCTCTCTCTGACAACCACACATACCATACCACAGATACCATACTCCAGTTTCGGAAAGGTGAGTGGCATTGCCCAAGGATGCAAAAATGGGATGCACTGTTTGAAGCTGGAAGCAAACTGGAAGCCTTTAGACAGGAGGGCGTCACTGTCTTTTATATCGTAGGTCTTTCCTTCCAGCTGCTGTCGGACTGTACAATGAGAACTACTGAGCTGTCAATACTGTAATCATTTGCAATGTGCAATATTGTAATTTCCGAATGTCCAGTGAATGTCACTTTATCTACTTATTATCCTACCCGATATGTATATAATTTTACACTATATAGATAAACAGAGACATATTGAAAGATTGATATTGAAGCATTTACAGCTAGCTAAGAAACATAGCAGCTACTCATATTGTTAATTTTGAGCGCTCCCTGTGTGCTCTTACAACTGTCCTGTATGTGCACTGCAACATTGAAATTCCCCCACTGTGGGACGAAAAAAGGACCTCTTATCTTATCTCATCTTGTGTTTATAGAAAGATTGATAATAGAAATTCAAATGTATTCAAAAGACGAAGGATGTGAGTGATCATGCCGTCGTTGTGTTGGACTGTTTTGGTGGAAAAAGAGCAGTGTGCAAAGACAAAGCTTTCAATTTGCAATCAAGTAAATAGCTTTGAGCTTCAAATGAGCAGTTGGGAATAAAGAGGCTGCTCCTTGTTCTCCTGAGTCACTGTGGGCAAATGTTTTGTGTGTGTCCCACCTTGAGGAGATCCAGGACTGACCAAGGAGGGTCTTGTGTCCTATGAATGCCTTTAAGTCCCCCTGGTGAAGCTGGAGGATGAAGGGTTGCTGTCTTAGACTGCTGTCTCCACCACCTGGCTCCAGACAAGAGGAAGTATCAAATGGTGGATAGATATAAATTGGCAGATTAGCTCACATAGTTCATTGTTTATAGAATATGTAATATAGGGGCTGATGTGATATAATTTGATGTTATTTTCGACATTATAAATAATAAACACCATTATTTTGACTAATGCATGCAATAACAGTTTCAATGTAAACTGTAACTCAAATAAGTAGCCTCATACCTATGCTGTTTGACGTACTCACTGCAGACAGACTTCTCCCACGGGCATTAAAAGAATTTCAATAGACAATCACAGAAGCAGTCGGCTCTATGTGGCAGGGAGGAAGAGGCAGTCAATCAGAAAAATACATCAATACCATCAAGACTCCAGCCGCTGTATCCTATATAATGATACATCAGGTGTCTGGGGCTATGGCTAAAGCTAATCAAAGGCTTCTGCGAGTCCTGATCACAGCAAGAGGAGACGAGAGCAAAAGATTCACACACAGAATATAGGAGTCTACATGGCCTGATGGAGAGGTGTTTTAAGGTGAGGGGAATATGCCGAGAAATGGCATGAATTAAAATCAGCAAGGGTTTCAAGAGTGTCTTATTAACTCCCTCATTTATGCCGACAAATTAAAATGATTATATTAGAAAGTGTGTTAAAGTTGCAGTGCCTTAAATTTCGGTTCAATATTCACATGCATGTATTATTTATACCTCTGTCACATCTTTAAACCTGCTTTATCAGACAGAAAAGTGAAAAAGAGAGAACCGCCCTCACTAAGCTCTCAGACCAAAGCTTCAAATAGTGACTCACAGGGCTCTTTCTTAAGTATGCAGGATTCTGTAGGGTAAAACTAACCTCTCTGACGACGGTATAAATCCAGCTCACAACATAAAGACAGCATGTTATGTCTTCGCGATGAAAAATATGTTGGAGAAAGTACTGCAACAAATGTAAAACTTGTAAAATGATACTGATATGAATGCTAATATGCTTTGTAAAACCTTTATCTAGAACTTGGATTACATGAAACAACATTTTTTGGAAGTTTAAGTAAATAGCGACTATTTATTGTAATTCACGAACATACAATACACTAAACTGAAAATATATATCTGTAGTAGTAGCCTTAGTATCTAATTTAGTATCAAACCTCTTTACTGAGCTATATTACTTCCTAAGGGTTCTCCAATGGATCAAAGATAACAACTTTAAACCGTGGTAGTCATGGAGGCTTAGGTTACTGTCACAGGCTTGAGGAATCGACAATGTGCAACAGTGTAACATGAGCAAAATCAATAATGCTCCTTCTGGAAATCCCTGTGATGTTGCTAAGCTCTCCTACCACCTGCAATACATCAAACCAGTGCAAATGTAAGGCTCCGTTCATGATCCCAAAATGTTGATTTAATTTGAACAAAACAAGCTCACACCTTCTCCCACTGGCTGATGTGAAATATGTACAAAGCCACGGCAATGACGGAAACTCCGAGAAGCATGCAGTCCTCCGTCACAGTGACAAACAACTCTCTATTTTAGGATTTAAATAGAAATGAAATAGAAAGAAAAGAGAATCAGAGTTACCAAAACATTCAAGTATTTTTTTCCAGTAATTTATATTATTTATGTCGTTTTTTGTTTTGTCTATTGGGCAAACAGGGTGTCATAAATATTCCAATGTTGTGTTTAACTGCAAATGGCGAATAAACGTAATCTGAATCTTGTTTTTGAGTGCTTCTTATTCATCTTGTTTTTAGTCCTTGTCATTCCCACTGCTTTGTATTGCAACACTGAAATCTTATCTTAAAGTATGGGAAAACATAAGTGTACAGAAAAATACTGAATAGCTCTTATCTGTGAGGTATGGATTTAACCTCAATATTTGACAAAGGCATATCACAAATATTGAACTGTTTCCGATCAAGAACATGGACAGACAGATGGGTAAAATGTTTAGAAATGGATTTAGGATTGTATCATGGTATAAATTGTCAGATTTGTTAACACGTATTGTTTTTGGGGCCCCTGCCTATAAGTTAATTTAGATTCCTGGGAGTTCCCTTTTACAGAACACCTACAAACCTTACAAATAGCATATGCAGGACTTGTATGAGGATTTGGAAATAAAAAGAATTGAATTGAATATCACCTCTGCTCTGTGGTCGGCTGCTTGCTCCTGATTGTCACCATTAACAGGGAGTCAAAAATGGTAGCTCGCTCCAACACAACAAACTGGAGCACCTGCTGGCACAGACCATAGGTGCGCTCGATGGGGATGGACGGCTCGTTGTGAACTGAAGACGAAACAGAAAATTATTCAGATAATCAGCGTCAGACCGTGACATGTTTTCAGACAATCAGGAGAAATGTGTTGTTTGGAGCAGAAATCAAACTAGTAATCATCTAAAATCATGCACAACCAGTTGATGAGATTTTGTGAAAGGAAAATCTGTCTGCCGTTTTAAACTGGGGTCCTAATTTACAAACTAAATAATAAAATGCATCAAACCAGGACCTAGCTTTCAAAACTATCACTAGTACTGCAAGAATCTTTTTTTACAGACAAAAAGGTGAAAAAGAGAGGACCACCATCACTTAGCTTCATGGAAAAGGGTCAATGTTTTCTGATAAGAGGAAAATTATACATATAAAATAATGTTACTGTTGGGACAAAAACATGTATTTATGAAACGCCCCAGTTAAAATGTTAAATGTTTAGCCCTAGATTTAAACATATGCAAATACCCAAATAAAATATAATAAGGCTAGAACTACTAAAAGACTGGAGGCTAACATGCATGTATAAGTGGTTTAATCTGTTTTGTATGTTTGTAAATCTCTACTAAAGTAAATTGAGTCCAAAAGGTGCAATTGATAAGTAAGCTATGACGAAGTATGGTGATATGCTATTGCTGTATTTCCCGGCTGTACTGTTTGTTGTAAAATGTATACCAAGGACTTCCAGAAGTATCTCGACATAGATCAGAGGGTTAGTGACAGCCAGTTTATAGTCGAGCCCCTTTAACACCAGCAGCTCAGAGTCCAATAGAGTTTTCTTCGTCGCTGTGTAGCCCAACGAGTGTAGAAAGCGAATGGCCGTGTTGTTGTCAATGACCTACAAACAAACAATACATACAAAAATATGAAAAAAAAAAGTCACACTTGTTTACATGTAAATATTGATTTACGTTCACGTGCAAGGACATTTTGCTTGCAAGCTGTACACAGGAGAAAACAATATCAGGAAACTTTGTCTTGAGCGAATCTAAAACACTGTCTTCAACACTTATGGGCTGAATGCCAGAGGCTCCTTGGGGAGAGGGGATTGTGAGCTGCTTGGTCAGGTGTGTGGTCATGAATCTGGAGAGAAACAGGGGAAAATTACTTGCCAAGTATACAATGAAAATAGTTAAAGTGCTTTTAATCGGTAAATACCTTTGAAGTAATTCAGTGGCATGGTATCCAACTTGTGGGTCAAGATCCAAAGCCCTGGTTATATGGAAGATGTATTCTGGAGGTAAAAGGACAGAGGCAAATCTATTATACAAAGATATATCTTTCGTTCAGAAGGGAGTAGGATAGTGTTGTTTGTTTGTCTGAATTTCAGAAATCAAAATATGCAACTATAGAATTAAAGCTGGTTTACTTTCAACAACAACATAAAATATGCTAAGCAATGCTAACCATCCAAATTGTTCCTTGCTCCCTAAACAGTCTGGGGCTATCACTGGTTTGCACATGTTTTTCTATCCTGCGTCACATCTTGAGATCATTTTTTTAGACAAAAAAAGGAAAAAAATAAAATAATATAAATACATGTATTATTTAGGGGGGTGGGGGGGGGGGAGTGTGATATCCCCAACTTTATTCAGACTTTGAACAAAGAAAAAACATATCTAAAGAAATATTTGGATACAGACAACGAATTACTTTCGCCCTTTTCCTTATCTTACCCATCACATTGGCATTCTTGAAGCAGCCGCTGCATTTGGACAAACTGTCGAGTGTGTCTTTATTTTCCTTGTTGATGTTAACGAGGAAGTCCGTCAGCAGGTCAAATGAAGCTTGTCGAAACTTTATAATATTCATATTTATGGACTGTTGAGAACTGTGACGTAGTCTTTTTGCCATTTGTTTACAGAGCTAAATGTTAATATTACGACGTAATTGAAATGACGAGGAATATTTTGTCAAAAGATGGCGCTGTTGTCTCTGATGTCGATCCGCCGTGTCAACAGGAACCATGCAGCGGGGACACATTTAGATGTTGCACCAACGTAGATAGCTGCTGCACTGTTCTGAAGGTGGTGCATTTATGAGTTTTACATCGATTTATCCGTCATCAAGTCTGTATTATTGACCTAAACTGGGTTGAAGTGGTAATTTTGGCCTTACGCTTGTTGGATTTTGACACCACCAGGCATACGGAGCGCGGATATGGCTGATAAGAAACCCAGCACGTCTGACGCCCCTTTCGCCAAGAGGATAGACCCTACTAAAGATGATCTTTCCAACGAACAATTTCATTTTATCAGACAGGTGGAGCTGGAACAGTGGAAGAAGAAAACTCAAAAACTACGGGGACGAAATGTGGTGACGGGACTCGCCATTGGAGCCTTGGTCATGGGGATCTGTATCCTTCCACACATGTCTACGCCAAGGTTAACTATGTAACACTAGCATAGCCTGTTGTACAACTGTACATGATGAGATTCCACACAACTAGTCTGTTTGTATATAGTCTAACAATATTGTTTGAGTAACATTTAAGTTTTCTTTGTTATTATAAAACATGGTATATATTTTACGTACTGATCGCTCTTTTTCACTGAAAAAGCTGATCCAAAGATAAGCTAGGAATAATTGCATAGGTGTTAACTGTTGTTTTCAATGCTCATTACTTTTCAGTCATTTTGTTACGAGTTTGTAACAGATCATGTTTAGTGATTTGGTTGTCTATTCGAGTCCTGAGTTTGTTTCCCTTCCATCAATTCCATTCCCATTAATGCTGTTATTAGTTGTCTAATTTGTGTTTTTTATACCTCCCATCATATTGACCTTAACCTTAATCCTTTAGATGGATACACATTTTGGTCAGTCTCCCAGGAAAGGATCATGGATGAAATTGATGAAGAGGCGAAGAAGGCAAGGACACTGATGTCAAAAACTGGTGCCAACTGAGACAAGATTGTTGTCGACCTGGGGATGAAATCTAACAGCACTTGCAACATAAAGGACTTCTGTGCTGTTGGTCATACCAGCACTGGACTTGACTGGAGTCTTGATTCTAATCCTGACTTAATATCCGCTTCTGCTTGTGGTGGATTTGACGACAAATCGTAATTCTATAATTAGAACATAATAATAATCCTAATAAAAAGTGAAGAATATAACGTATGCCCCAGTAAGCTAATGTTTGATGTGCTGAGATATTTACCACCTCAAAGGTGAAACTCCCATCATGGCCAACGTGGGTTTATTTATGTTCAAGGCATTGGATGTTCATTTAAGGATGTGAATATGATGTAATCTTATGCAGGACATTTATCAAGACGAAACACCAGTATAAGTAAAACAAACAACTGAAAATGCATATATGTACAGTTTCATTTATTTTGTATTTTAAAATTTGACAATACTCTGATCGGTCACCAATCAGGTGTAAAAAAATAAAATAAGACATAAGGGAAAGGCACAAATTCAGCATGGCAGGACAGCAGCTTCAGAAAGCAGGACGTTTGTATATTTACATTCATTCAACTGTTGTACAGTAATCACTATTCTTAGAATATATTATGGTCTTTCGATATTTTGCAGAAGCTCCACTCAAACTTTTAGTGTATGTTTTCATAAGACAGCAATAGCTAAATATTCAAAAGTTAAACGGTCGTTTTGATCCAGTAGAGAATATTAGAATAAAATATATCGGGTAGGATCAATGTCAAAATAATATGTCCACCTAAAGGAAAAGCCTTTGAATTTGAATTATGTCCAATCCATTAAAGTGCACTGTGTGCTGAATTATTAAAATGTGTTGCAAAAATTACTATTACAATTATTGGTTTACTCTTGCATTGTAAACATGAATTCACTTATATACAGCTGTACAAGTAACAGGATACTAGTAGTCTAGAAACAAAGATATATGAATATTTACAAAGGCCATGGTTCAAACCAGGTGTATTTCTCAAACATTGTTTAACATCACTAAAGCATTTTTATTGACGTAGTAGTTTTGAGAAAAAACTAATACATATACAAAATATGTGTTAACACTTCATGCAGGAATACCACATTGTACTGTAACTGATCAAAGTCTATCAGAGAAATGTTGAGCTCAGTGTCAAAATGAAAGTTCACATAAAAACTTCAAATATATTACAAAAATGTACATTATACAATGAAAACTCGTCTCACATGTGACAGTTTTCCAGTATATCAGTATAAAGGATTTGAAATCACCGGATTTCCCTCTGATAATTGTCATAGTTATATAGTGTTTTGGCTGTGAACGCAACTTCATCTTTGTATGTAACAAATTCAGTGTCAGTGTAATGAGGAAAACATCTTCACGAAAATGAACTAATAGAAAGTGCAGGTGTGGTTATGAAGCTGAGGGAAAGACTAAACCATGCAGCAGGTTTACATTTTCACTGTGATAAAACTGAATGATGCTGGTTGGGTTTGGGATGAGAGTTGGAGGTAACACGACCGGCGACTGGAAACACTGGCTGAAGAAGGACAGGGGAACTGCAGTTCATTTGAGGTAGCTAAGAAAACCAGCGTGCATAGTCAGATTTCTTACTGTAAAACAAACAAGACGAAGTTATATATTCTGTTGATCACCTTGTCCACTAGGTGTCTCTCAACCTGTAATTATCAACTCACCATTCTTTTCATGTCTGTGGCAAAAGTGACTCCTTTGCTGGGTTTATCCTGTGATCCACTGCTGCTGCCACCCAAAGAGTTTCTCCTTATTATACCTGTACAAATAAACAAAGAACATGCTGTAGAACAATCTCAGATGAGGTCAAATCTAGTATTTGCTTCATGTACCTGGTAGTGGCAGCACTTCCAGTCTCTGCAGACTGTTCCTTCTGGAGGAGGAGTAGCTGTTGCCTTTGGACAGTCTCCTCTGTCGGCTGGAGAGCATGGCTGCAGGAGACACGATGCCTGGGGGAGGAACTTTACCCATTTTCTCATATAACTCTTCAATCTCTTTCTTCTGAGTGGCTTGTAAAGCCTGCACTTCATCCTGATGCCTAGTTGAGAAAACATATAAGAAAATTCATACATTTGAATGAAACATGAGTTGCACAAACCAAGGCAATGGTTTTGGGGACCTTGGTCTGAAAAAATGTTACTTAAGTAATGTGACTTGATTAAATGTTACTTACATAAATGTCAAACCAAGATTCAAAAAATTAACTTGATTAACAAGATATATGAAGTGTTATCTAGAATCTGCTGGTATAATTGAGTAATGGTGGGTAATAGGCAGTGGTTAAATAATAAAGTGGATGTACTTTTTAAAATCAGCTAATATTCTTCAAAAGCATACAAAATAAAATAATAAATAAAATGTAACAGTGCAGCAATGTAACAAGTGACTACCGTACTTAAGAGTGACTTCTCAACAAGTAGCCGGTTAGGAAGTGTGTGTGTACGGGTAAGTCTGAGTGTTTCTGCTCAGCAATAAAGTTGAAGAAATGGATGGAAAGATGGTTGATCTATAATTAGATGGTAGATCTATAATTACTCAAAATTACTTTTTTACCTCTCCCTTAGATATGTTTCCGTGTTATAAAAATACCAGGACCAGTGCATTATCCCATATGTTTGGGCACATTTTTAGCAGTACGGTTCACTCACTTCTCTCTGAGCTCCTGCAGCTCCTCCATCATCTCCTCGTCTTCGCTGTCCGAGTCGTCGCTGCTCAGGTAGGCCGTGTTCCGGTTACACGTCATCATCCACAGATGATGCAGGGCGTTACTGTACTGGGGGCTGCCAGCTCCTCCGTCCCATAAACGTCCCTCCATTTCAGCCGCAGTCACAGAAAGCCCGCTGTCCGCCGACGTCCCCATGACACTCAGACTGTACGCTCTCCTTCTGTTGCGTTTCCGGACTCTTTGCCGTGCTTCACCTTCACAATCCTCCTCTTCTTCTTCATCCACTTCCTCTGCCTGCTGATCCTGGCTGATGGACCATGTGTTTTGGACGTCCAGACTTCTCTGCGGTAGTGGCTGAGGGGGGGACAGGGTCAGGGAGGTGCAGAGACTGGTTTCGGACTTGGCCTGGTCCGTGCTGGTCTCTGGGGTGGTACTCGGGGCGCTATCTGGGGATGGGGCAAGTGCCGACGGGGAGAGGGGAGCCGGAACACTCACACTTGGGCTCACCTGGAAGCGTCCAATGGTCTGAGGGGATGATGGGACTGGACAACAAAATTCAAAAATATTTGTCAACAAAATTGCAGTGAATGTGTTTGTGCACAGATAACAACACAAATAGACAATGGTGAGAATGCTGTTTAATAAAAGTATACAGTTTATTTGAAAAAAACAGCTGAATAAATTATCTGTATATATTTTATAACATTGCAATCTTCTACAATGTATTTTAAGTTATGTTTTGGCATTGTGGATAATTTTCCCATAGTTCAGGGCTGTTAATCATAAAAAGAACACAGTTACACTGTTATATTTATTTTCTCATGAGTTAAAATTACACTCTCAGCACAAACAGAAGGTCTGTTTATTTACAACAATAGTTGTTAATTATTGAAAACGAACTTGGTTGCCATTCTCATTGCCATTCTTATAGCCCTGTATTAGTTCATATTTATCAGTTATTTCCGCTGACCCCTATGACCTCGGTTTATCTTCAGAAACCAACATTAAAGATAATGTAGCAGTCTGTATTTTGTAAACATCACATATGTGGGTATCTGTTTATTTTACATCATGTGTCATCATGAAACAATTACATTCTACATTGTAATCCATAGTAAAGTGGTCATATTCCTTCAATTATAATAATGTGGCTACACATACACTTGAGAGGACAAATAATTTACTGTTTATTTGTTTGGGTAAAGCCCCATTGTAGCTCTATTCATGTTTATTACACTTTATTAGGTATATTATTACTATTTTCACACAAGTGAAGAGAGAAATACAAAATAAATCTCTAATCATGTTGTAGTAGTGATCCTGATGCTGTACTGATGCATGGAAACGGCGGAGTGAAACTGCAGTAGCTTGTGTGTCCACTAGAGGACCCCTCACACCTCTATAATGTACATGTTTGGATCTGCTGCTTTGGCCTCTGGAACAGAAGGCCTCTGTTTAATGCAGCTTTTAAAAGGGGAGAAATAAATACTGTCAGGTGTGGGTCCAGGAGGAGAGGCTGGTAATTAGCCTGGCTGCGTTCTGATTGGTTCGATGGGGTGGGAAGTGCCTCCATCATACCTTCATTTGTTTTCATTTTGAATGGAACATTACATTTGTGAAGTCACAGTTACGCAATACCACACAAAAGATTCACCAAACAAGACTGCTGGTACCGCTGCTGATGTCCCCGAGCTAAACGACCGCAAATGGTTTGTTTGGACCCAATACACTGAGCATGTCGATAAACCCAACAAACAAGGCGCATGCTGGTAGATTTCTCATTTGGGATACAAATGCATCCAAACAAGTCATTTCAGTACTACTTTACCTATCCATGCAATGTATTTCCTTACTTCACCACAGGAACACATAGGAACAGGGAATAGGGTATACAAATTGTTAATGATTCATATTTTATTTATGCAGTGAAATCCATAATTTGTCTAGGAGTTATTCAGTCATTTTCTATGTCCAAATAACTGATTTTGAAAGTAATTAAAGATATGTTAAAGCTATTTATGTCCATGACTGTATTCTATCCCTCCAAAAGACATACTATTTTTTATACACCATTGCTATCCACTATATCTTCTTTTTTCTCACATTTATATTTTATAGAAAGGTAGAAAGAGAATAAAGATTTAGATTTTTAGATTATTAATTTAGCATTTTTTACTTGATAACAAATCTAACTTATTGATAAAAATTCTTTTGGTCAGAATATAGACTATAACTGGTTGTATTTAATGCATAGACGCCCTCATCTGTCCTTTAATATCATGCAATTCCTTATGTGGTGAACTTGCCCATAACATTTTAATTATCATACACCAAAACATACCAACACCATCCCACCCTAAATCAACACCCAAAGTCCTATAAAGCCAAAGTGATAATAGTTTGTGGTTAATGGCTGCAGACATACAGACAGGTATTACGTAAGGGCTTTTGGATGCATAGCAGAAGCTCCACTTTGAGCAAAAAAATCTAGTTGCATGTGAAGCCGAACGTGTTTATGATGTAAAGATGGAGTAGAACCAGAGTTATGAATATACAGAAGCCTCACCGGAGCTGCACGGGGACAGTGTTGGTTTAGGGCTGCTGCAGACCATTGCACTCACAGCGGGGTACACTGGAGAGCTCAGAGACGATATCTAGAAAGCAAAAAGACAATATTGACACAGGTATAAGTACAGTCGTTTAGAATATGTCACAGCAGTTAAAAACAGGGGGAGTCAGCCTTTTACATCCATCCATCCATAGCCAACAGTGTCCCTGTTCAATCATGCAATGTACAAAAGAACATGTATTCAGTCTGATTTGTTACTTTCACAAGGCACAAACGACACAAAACCCTAACTATTGTGTGTTTTCAGGTACGCCAGCTTTAAGGTAAAGCCATATGTATACAATTTCTTTGACGGAAAATTGTTTTGAATGATTGATTTGAGCTGGCTTATGCAGTGAAACCTGAATGTTTAGTGTGGGTGTGCGCGTGTGTGTGTGCAAGAGAAAAAAAAAGTGTGTGTGTGTGTGGGATCAGCTGGAACAAAAAAATAAAATAGTCACTTTACTGATTAACACTGCTTATTGTTGATTGAACTGAGTTGAGTTAATCAAACAAGCCAGACAAAAATGTATTTTAATCATATAAAAATAAGACTTACTGAGTTTTCCGGACTCTCGCTCGATGACGAAGAGAGATCAGAAGAAGAGGTTGAACTCCGGATATCCACTTTGTCTGCAAAATTATGATTGTCGTCAACTTGAGGGCAATGTAAAGGAACCTGGTCGTCCATCTGATGCTGCTGCTCGCGTCGGACCAACGGTGGCGTGGATTGATTCGACGGAGGTGAGAGATGTTGCCATGGCATCTGTGGCGCCGTTTCCATGTTATGGTAGTTCGGGGGGAAATTGGCGTTGGGATAGGGGATTTCCATTCCGTTTTGGGGGTACTGCTGAGGGTACATGGCTGGGTATCCAGACTGGGGTTGCATATGATGGGGAAGATGGGGATGGTAGCCTGGATACGAATGCATGCCTTGAGCTGACATGCCAGCGGGCGGTATGAAAGACTGCGCCATACTCATCGCCATCGAAATAACATTAGCCAAAGAAAACAGTGGCTGCGTGTGGGGAGGCCAAATGTTTTGTGGATTTGGGTGGTTCATGTTGAGGTTTTCACTGCTACCAGAAATTGGGCTGGTCTCGGTATGGGCATTGGGGGATCCGGGAGCTGGTGAAGGGGCTGATGGGAAGTTGGGGTTACTGGCGACGCGCGTGAGGGGGACGTGATGCGGGATTCCGGAGGGTTTGGGAGAGGAGGATCCAGGGGAGCCGGGGTAAGGGAATGGGAAGTGAGTGTGTCCCATGTAGGGGTGGTGGTACTGCTGCTGCTGCTGCTGCTGCTGCTGCTGCTGCTGCTGCTGCTGCTGCTGTGGAATGTACAAGGAGGACGGGGGCTGGTAGTGTGCGTGATGGTGTAGAGGAGATCCTTGAAGACATAAAAAGAAAAGTATGTAAGTGGTTGACAATAAAGAAAAAATCATATTCTCCAAATTTCCACTTTGGAACATAGATGAAAAATCTTGACAAACCAGGAAGCAGATCTAAAACTAAATCATCAAGCCTTCAGACAAAACCAGGTCTAAACTAACACTATAACTTTTGCGGAACTCAGAGTAAAAAATGAAAGAGGCAGCCAAAAATTTTTATTTACTGTTTATGATCTTTGGTCAGACATGATAAACGTTATATATTACATATATATTACAAACAGCACATGTATTAAACAAAATTATTTTAGAATTTTGCTACCATATGTTTACCCTATGGTCACAATCTAAAGTCAAAGCAACAACATTATATGTTTTGATAAACTCTGTGTTTCAAAACATGTGTATGTTATGTATTCTAAGAAAGGAAGTCTGAATCTCAGCAGTGGTCAAACGGAAGAAAAAGCTCATTTAATTTACAGTGGAATATTGGCCGTATCTGACCCAGAAAGATTTTTATTTGTTCCTTTATTCCCTGTGGGTTTTGTGACTCCAGTCCTTCCTGCCCCCCTGCCAAGACGCCTGTTACACTCAGCATACTGTATGTCTTTCCTCTCCCTCTTCCCCGAGTAAATAATGGTTTCCATGGTGAACCATGACATTCTGTTTGTTTCCAGTGTTAATCAACTTCATACTGTAAGTCAAAGTGATCCAACCTGAGGCCCCTGTGCTCTGAGAGAATCATTGTGAAGGGGAAGAGTGTGGCTTTTGCATAATGAAGAGGGTTTAATGGGACACACGTGCAGCTCTTTCCAGGCACAGACTACCACCAATCACCAGGGACCTCTGAATTTTACTTTGTTTATATCGTCATAATGTTTTAAACCTGCAATATCATAAGTTTGTCTTTGTATGGAGTTGGCATTATCCCAATATATAATATGTCAATATCTGTATACACTGGAATCATGCCTCCACTGAGACACCTTTAACAAATTAAACCATTAAAGTGGTTCGGAAATAGGCATCACTTCACTGGGATTAGTCGAGGACGCCGCAACCACTCATTTGGGATTTACTCCAACAATGTTGCACAGTTTACAACAAAACCTCCTGCTAGTGATGATGTAAAAGTGCTGTTTCCACTATGACAGAGGCGTTCATGTCCAGCAGAGACTGGGTTTGCAGTATTATCAACAGTTTGATTACTATGGAAACTTTTGCCTTTGCCATAATCTTACACAAGCCGTTTTGGACTTCACTTCTAATGTTGTAAATGGGCACGGTTTTAATGTTGGGTTTGTGTTGAATTGTACAATATTACGCAATACTTTTCCCAATAACGTCTTGACACATGTTTTTGTCTCTAAATAGATTTGTTTCTATCCTCAAAATTGTGGAGGGTCCGGTTTAAAGGAGAAGTATTATGCATTGTGTTTGGCCATGAAAATGAAAAATATAATGAAAATATTTACTTTATCATTTAGCAATAGAATGTGTTTAAGTATGAGGGGTAAAAATCTCTACCTGTAACTCCCTCTGCTACCATCAAAAGGAGAGTTTGAATTAATTTTTGTTTCTTCAAATTAGAAAATTACCAGCTACAAATACAGCCATGCAATTGTATCATCCTGGACGGATCTACAACTCCTGGCACGCTTTTGATGATTGGTACAATGTTGTATTAAAAGTTTAAAAAGCCAGTCTACTTTAACGCAGGTACAGTTTTGGCCTCCTCTGTACCCATCTCTCATTATGCGGTCCATAATCGGCTTCAGATGCCTCCCCTACAGCTAGGCTCTTTAAAAGCAGAGAAGGTTTTCTTGGAAATCCGGCAGGAGTTTGTCCTGGCACACAGATGTTGCACGGTCGCTCAAGTTTTACAGCGACAGCATTCACAACAGCTCAGTCTAAAAGGAAAGAGCCGCCCTCAGGTGAGGTAATTACCCAAGAGGCCCGGCTCCAGGCAGCACAGATGAAAGCATTGACAAGATGAGATGTCAAACGGCGCCATATGAACTGAACAATGGCCACAGAGGATAGAAGGAGGTCTATGAAGCAGCCAGAACCTTCATAATGTGCCAAATGTATAAAACTGTAAACAATAGCAGCTTGTTTTTGTTGTTGTTTTGTGAGCAGTGGGAAATAGTACGGTATAGTGACAAGTTCAAATCCATTTAAGAAGACTTACTCTGCTTCTTTTAGTTTTAACCCTTTAAGCCCTAGAGTTGCAGAACATGTCCCTCAATTATAAGTAGTCCTCCATCTCTTACAAAATGTTCAGTTTCACACTATTCTGGAAAAACTCTGGCACCCACAGGGTTCAACTAGAAGCTAACTTCTATCTAACTTTTATGTAAATCAATATTCATATTAACAGCTTTAATAATTGATCTTTGTACTGCCAATTAGAAGGTTTACTTGCAATAAGTACAACAAATTTACACTTGACACTTATTTTGTCGTTCAATAAAATAATATATTTGTGAAGTTCATAATTGCATGATTTACAAATGGTATTGTTCCATTGAGATTCTGTTGGGTAAGAAATACATTCAAGGTTTTTACTAAAATAAAAAATCCCCAAAATTCACAAAACAAAATTAGCATTTTCAATTGGACCCAATGAAACTCCCAAATTCCTTTTGGTGGTCATTTTACCTGGAGTATTGTTGAAAGACTGAGAGCGTATGAGGGGCCGCATAATGTCTGCACTGGAAGCTTCTCCTTCGGGGCACAGGGCCAAGCTGTGTGCCCCTGAGCTTGGGTTAGCCGCACTAAAATCTAAGACAAGACACATAACATGCATAAGAGCAGGCAACAAACTACCACTAAACTACAAACTACAAAAACATGCACAATACTACAAAAGCCGGGTTAGTTGGATAAGGAAGCAACTTTAAGGCATCTCCAGCCAATGAAGGAGAAAGATGAAGGATACTGCTTGAGTTTTGTATAGTCTGTGGAGCAAAATGTTGTCTCTCATTCAAACTAAACAAAAATATTTTACTTATTTCAGGTCCTTGTCTGTCCATCTTCACAATTTGAAAAGTAACTGACCTTGCTGGCCAACGCTAAACTAACAAAACCAGATTGACGGGTAGAGGTAAATGGAAGACAATATTAAAAATGCTAATAAAGCAGAGCTAACCAGGAAGCAGTAATGTAAAGGGAGGGGGTGTCAAAAGAACCTTGAAACATAACAACATGCTCATTGAGACGGGAAAGGGAAAATATTTCATTTCCAAGCAAGGAGAGAAGTAAAAAAGCTTAATTATTGAAATTATTTGTAAAAAAATCCCTGCACATAGTGTCAGAGTGTTATGTCAATTATACAGTGTGCTAAAGGGGCGTTTTTTTACATACGTTTTGGACTAGCTTCTCATTACTGTAGAAATGACTCAACTCAAAGACTATTCCAAAAATTTGACATATGCTCCCAATTGTATATTTTGTCTTCTTCATAAGAGGCACTAAATGTTTTAAAAGTAACCTTGGAGATACGTATACTTATTGAAACGTTTATTAAAGTGGTTAGAGTGGTTACTTCTTCCCGATACTCACCAGGCAGAGAGGAGGAGGAGTGCGTTCGAGAGATGCCGTGACTGTGCAAATTCGGCTGCAGGGAAAGAAATAAAAAATACATTCTCATTGCTCTGTGCTTTTCAAGTGCCCACTGCACACAATTCATCCATTTCTTCTTCTTCTTATAATGAATTTTGGCTTAACTGCATTTAAAAAGTGAACTCAGTCTACTGCCCTCAAGCAACAGCGCAGATATTTTGCATTTAATTTCATGGGAAAGTACTTTATTACCTCAATTATCAAAGTCACAAGTCAGTACCAGTTTTTGTTCCAGCACCATGCATGGAAAATGATAAATATGGAATAGGGGGCACCTGCACAAAAATACAAAACTATATAGATGCTTATGTGTTTTCAATATTTATCTTGGCACACAAAACTCTTTTTATTCCAATTTAAACGCAGTATTTGCCGACGCAAGTGCCACAGTCTGGGGTTGAGATAACTTAAAGGTTTTCTTCAGCCTCAACTATAAACAAGCTGCTTTATGGTCAGGACAGTGCAAACAGCCTGGGAGAGCGGCCACAGAGGATCTTGGGAAATGCGGTCCGTGACTGGTTTTAATCAGGGACTGGACAGAAGCCAAGGGGGCTCGTCCGCTGTGGTTTTGGAGTAATTTAGTCGAGCCCGGGAGGTCGGAAATATCTTTGTGCTGATAAAGGTGGCCCAGTGGGGAATAGACATTTTACTGCATCTGCTTCTGTATCTTGTTCCCACTGCAATTACACATTGTTCTGGTTTTAGACAATTTTACATTTTTAAAACACTTTTAAAAACTTTTAATCACAAAATAGGGATAATGTGTATAAATTGCAAAAAAGTACACCGATAGAAGACTACACCAGAAATGAATTAACAAATCCTTCCTCACTTCTATACCGCATGAAGATTTCTCATTACTACTTTTAGAGAAAAAATATACAAGGTTGTAACAAACCCAAAAACAAGGAATGAACATTAGAATTAGCATTTAGTATCCTCGCCAAGAAGAAAGCCTATTCTGTCCAATTTGGCTTTCACAGAACTGCAGTCAGATCAGATCAACTCAACTAATGCTGAAGGGACATTTTTGTGGTGATAGATAAACATGTCTTTATATCAATTGTGATTTAGGGGATATCCTCATTTCTCAACAATTGGCTGCCTCATTAAGGACATTTAGAAAACAAAACCTTGGAACCATGCCCTATAGAGACAGTGAAGAAAGCACTTTAGCTGGATTTTATTTCCTGTGCAAAACGCATTATAAGGAGCCCCTTCCTCTGCATACGTCACTCTTATTGGCTGTTAGACAAGCCTGGCTAGAGTCACTACGGCTGATAGTGACAACCGGTGGTGTCATAAAATATAGAGCAGTGGATGCTACTTCCTGTGAACTAGTAACATTGGTGTTGTGAAGCAGAACAGGTGCTGACGTAAGAGGGAGATGGAGCGCACCGAATCAACTATGTGGCTGCAAAATAATAAAAAACTATTACTTTCCATCCTAGCATCCGGCTCATGGCATGGGTTTTAGATTGTCAAATAATCTTCAATTAAAGTCTATATCTTTTTTTATCCAGGTTTGGGATTCTTTCAGACCTGGAGCTGGTGAGTGGATAATGTCCAAATTCAAGCAAAGTAACTTTATGACTCAAACTTGCCATTACATATCAAAACTACTGATGTTAAGGAAACTATTACAACTGCTTCTATGAATCGGTCTTTTCACTCTAGAAAAGATATTGGCAAAAACAATTCCCAAGCAGTCCATATTAATCAAATACATTACATATTTACAAATATTTGTCAACTGTTTTTTCAGCTCCAACAAAGCCATTTGTTATATCCGGTATATCTGAACAGACTAGTGCTTTAATAAAATTAGAATTAGCTGATAACTGAAACTTTCTATTATGGGTGACCACCATTCACGTATAGGCCTACATAAAATCTAAAGTATATATAAGTTGTGTTCTGACCTGAGAGGCGGACAGAGAGTTGCCTGAGCTGTGGAGGTTCGGCGGTGGGAGTCTGTGTCCGCTGGAATGGTTCGAATGCTCCTTTTCCATCAGCGCTTCAGCTCGTTTGATGATGTCGCCCATTCGATAGACGAAGCCCTCTTTCTCCGACGGCAAGATGAACTCACTGTGCACCTGGAGACATGGCGGGAGTCAAAGTCAGACCAGATACTATAGTAATCAAGTGTGTGCTATTTTAACGCTGGGGTAACTAGGTTTTATTTTTACCATGAATTTACCATTTTGTTTGACCCACCCGAAAGAGTATTGTAATAGAACAATTCTGTTACCAATCAACTTTTTTTTTAAAACATAATGTTTTGCATACAGTACTGGTAAAAAAACCCTTTGAGTGACCATTTGAGGATGGTTATGATTTTGGATTTCTGTAGTACGGCTGTGCAATGAATTCAATACATGAAACTGTTTTGAATCATAAGGGCATACCAGTAAAGCATCACACAACTACACTTTCTAAATTCTCACATTACAAAAAAAAAAAAAAAAAAAAAAAAAAAAAAAAAATATATATATATATATATATATATATATATATATATATATATATTAAAAAGTCAGTTAAAAATCATACATGGATATTGTAATTTGGGAATTTCACCTGAAAATTCTTGAATGTGTTATAGATGACTCTATAAAAAAGTCATTTATAGAGTCATCTATATACTTTATACTGGCTCCCCCCCCTTCTGTCTGGGAGCCAGTTTACTTAATAACTTTGCATATTCATTCACAGAAAGTTGTGTTTTGGGGCGGGGTAACTGTTTGCTGTCGGCCTGGCATAAGTCTTCTCATAAGTGCCTCGCATTGAACCACTGTGACGGGTTTGGATGCCAGCGACCCCTGCTGTGCCAAGTATTGTAAACAAAAGAGCAGTGTGAGCGAGGGAAAAACAGCACATTGAGAACAAAAAGTGCTTTACCACCGAGCCCTGGGTACATGAGCTGCCGTAATGAGTCTTAAAAGCCTTCGGAGACACAAGCTTCACCTGCGTCATGCTACGTATACGACTAAATGTAATATGCTGAACCAGAGACAGACGGGTTTATGAGCGACATTACAGGCAAATGCATCAATGCAAGAGGCGGCCAGGACAGCGTGTTTGGTAGACACAGCAGAGGAGACAAAAAGGCTCCACTTAAAGCGGGGGTACCTACGTTTTCATCATAAATTTAGTTTGTTCTAACAGAAAGAGTCTTCGGTTGTGAACAAATAAGTCCACAACATGCTGTCTTCAACTGAATAGAAAACAACATATCTTTTGCAATGTTGTAAGAATGACCACCGTGAGGGACTTTTTGATGCTTTGGGCAAAGAGCTGATTGGCTGAGCAAGAGTGGCCCACTGTTTGTTACTAGTTTTGTTGGATTTTCAATGTAAATCAAAATGAGCCAGAGCTAGTTGGGGCAAAATTTTGTTCATGAGCACTTCCCTAATTGGCTTCATTGAGGGTTAGCACCCACCTGTTTTAGACAGTGGGGGCGCTTCCCGGCTCAAAAGTGGCCAAAATGACGTGCGCTCACATGCTTGCAATACCACCCCGGGCCGATGGGGGTTGACCCGGAATAAGAATTAGCCAATGCTAACATATAGCATCTTCTTACCTCTCAAAAACGGCTTTACAGGATGGTCCAAAAGTTGCCTCTTGGCCCAAAGCTCTGTTCCACATGTGTGTCAATGCTGAGGGGAGTGAATTTTTTTGGACCACTCTAGTTTAGTCGCTGTGAATTTTTGAAGGCACTCGTTAAATGAATGGAGCTCGTGCAGCTGACGCATGCGCAGATGCATTTTTTCACATTTTTTTTTCCAGCCCCCGCGGCCATTTTGAAACTGCCCATAGACCACGGAAGTTATGGCACATTAGTTAGAACGGCGGAGATAGGCGTGACTACGTCCGTTGATATTTACAGTCTATGGTTTTAGAGCATAGTTCTATTGTACCCCAGCTTTAATAAATGTATGTATGCAGTCTATTTACTTCTTGAGTTTAGGAATTTATTTCGTAGAATCTGTTGCGCCTTTTTGTTCATATAAATTCAAGTGGAAGTGTGAGACTAATAATGTCAAGTCCCTTAAATCATGTGTGCATTCGTCAAACAAAGAGCTCAGCTGACACTATCATTTATGCTTCACACTATGAAAGAAAGAAAGTACTGTTCTGCCCAGACCGATTATTATAAATGTGACGATATGAACATAATTATACATATGATGAATGTCAAGAAAGATTATAATTGGTATGAAGAACCTAGCTAGTATATTATACAGTTTGGGATGTTATAGACACAGACTTTAATGATTACATTGGGGGTTGAGTGCGAGGCGTGTTGGTCTCGTATCTACAGTTTATTATTATGCCCCTACATTCTTCAAGATAAAACCAGTTCCTTTCTCACCATAACAGCAGCGATGTCCTCAGGGCTGTCTCCGTCCAGGTCAAACTTGAAAGTGACCATCTTTTCATTGTGTGTCTGTAGCTGGCACTCCACCACTCGATCCACTTTATCAGAGAGCTGCAGAAAGGAAACACAGATGATGACTGACTGTTTACCGCAGTCAAACAAGAATTCTGATATTTATTGACGCGAGAGTGCTATTTTAGACGAGATCTGGGAACAGCACCCTTTGCTTCTACCCGAATCAGTCATGTTGTGTGCACCTAGTTTGCTTTTACCTTGTTTATTTTCGGTTTATTATGGGAGGCTTGTCCTGATCTGAACCTGTGTACAATCTGGTTCAGACTTGTTTGGGTCATATATATTTTAGATCTGGCTTTTGGTTCTTGGTTACACCTGATTCAGAGTGGTTCATAGTGTTCTTCTTTAGTCATAAAATTGTGTCTATAATGGGACTAAACCCAGGACTATGCCTGGACTAGACGAGGAGAGAAATTAGTTCAAATCGAGTTGACCTTAGAATTGTATTGGGTCAAATCTATAGCACTACATTTGAACCTGATCCATATTATGTTCTTGATCATATCTCCTCTTGCCTAATTTGGACAGCATCGACTTTGGTCTAGACATAAGCTCTAGTTTGGAGGTGGCTATCAAGTCCTTGGGTGTATCTGCTGTCAATCTGTCTGTCTGTCTGAGTTCTTGTATTAGATCAAGTTTAGTGACCGATGTCTGTCATTGAAAACCTGAAACGTAAATCAATTGCGCTGCCTGTATGGGCCTGTAAACAGCGGGTGACATGGTTTGTTTCTGTCCTACAGTCATAGTGCAACCTCAGTGTGTCCCTGTAAACAGAGAAATGTGATGTGGTTGTCAAGAGAGCGAGAGTACAAGCACGAACAGTATTACGCAACTGAGGCGGAGCTGCGGTGATAAACAATCATCGTAAATACATCAGTTCTCTTAATGATAGTCCCTCAGTTATATTCCGTACGTGCAGTTATGAGAAACGGCAAAACTGGACTGAAGATGTGAAAAGCATTAGAGCTAACTTTGCGGAGAGGGACCATGACATAGAGAGATCACCATGACATAGCAACATTAAAGTGGCAATAATTTTGAAGGATTTTAATTTGGTTTCTGACCTAATTTATCTGAAAATACAGTCTTTATTGGTCAAAGAATTGGCTAAATGGATATCAATACAAATTCTCTCACAACCCACAGTTTTGGAAGAACTAGTTTAGAGCAGCCACCTAAAAACTCAAATGGAAATGCTGATCAAGTGGAAACTGTTTTTCTGTCTTTGGACAAGGTAATTGCCTCATCTTTTTTGTATAATTGCAGTGTGTACGTTTTTAAAAGGGACCTGACAACATTTTTTTCGATATTGAGGCATAAAATATATATGAACCATAGATGCCATAGGTGATACATACAGTAGATAGCTTCTTAGTCTTCTTCAGTCTTCTTCAGTGACATACAGCTTGTCAACTTTGCGTCAATGGGACAGCTGAGGCTATTGTACCTTACTATCACCAGTATTGTAGTCTGTATAGATCAGGTGTATTCAACTCTGTCCTCAAAGGGCTGAGGAACTGCAGGTTTTCATTCCAACCAAGCAGGAACACAAAAGACCCCACCCATTTCCTGACGTTTCTAGGCTAAGACTGGATTGGCTTGAGGAAATGTGTGGAGTCTGTTGTGCTCCTTCTTGGTTGGAATGAAAACCTGAAGTTTGAATACCCTTTTTGTAAATTATGTATATATGGAAAAACTGCAAAACACCCTCAAGGTAAGTTGAGTGTTGCAGTCAAATTGATATTGATATATATACGGTATGTTTTTTTAATAAATTAGATAAAAGTAGTCGTACTCCTGTGATGCGAAGCCTGGACCGCGCTCGCCTCCTGAACAGTTTGGCAGCCGTTCGTCTCACTGCAGGTTTCTCATTCTTCTCTGTCAGACCTTCGTATCCATCACTGAGTCCAGACATCACATCGGAGCCATAGCTGCGGAGACACAGAACACTTTATGGGCTGCTGCTTTGTAAATGTGTCCGCAAAACCACTCAAGATTTTTCCACATTTCTGAAGCCCTGCAGCTGTCAGGAGCGAGAATTTGAATCTGGCAAAACAATGATAAACATTCGGTTGGGTCAACAAAGCCGCGAGATGCTCCAGTGACAGAAATTATAATAAAGAAATATGAAAACAATTGCATGTCTTTCCTTTTGGATTTTTCAAGTAGAGTTGGTGAATAGTCAATATGTTCCCTAATAGTGTGTGTAATCACCAAGTAAAAGCAAGGTGACAACTACATCCATGTGCACTAATTCTACTTGTTAGATGAGATAAGATAAACTTTATTGATCTCACAGTGGGTAAATTTAAATGTCACGTTAGGTATAAATAGTTACATAAACTGTGGAGCGTTTCTATTGTACTCAAGATATAATATGTACAATAATATTTGTGTCTGATCAATTTACTATTTTGGGTGTAATTCATGACTGTCATATTAGTGAGCCAAAAACGATTATATCTATTCAGTCCTGTCCCCAGAAAACCAGTTCAATCAAGCTTATTGTTCTATAACTAACACCAAAAAATGAAGATGAATGAATATGGTGCAGTCCACAATACAGTCTTGAAAATGAACTGTGATTTATACAGGTTACGCAACGGCAGAAAGAATGTGATTTTTGGATGAATCAGAAGCATACAAAGCCCAAAAGCACAACTACTTTTCTTAAAATGAGTCTAAAAGTGAAATGCACATGTGGCGATCCAACGTCTTCTCAGAAATCAAGAACAGCTTCCCCTCTCGTTTTCTTGAAATGCTCTGATTGAGTTAATAGCGCCTCAAGGGTTTTTGCACCGCAGTGGTTAGAGCCTTGCATTTATAGGCCCACTGTTTGGCAGCGTCCAGGCCTCTATATTTAAAACTAGCACCATGTGGGTAACTTCAGTTCAGCACGTTTTTCAGACAGGGCGGACACTGTAGATAGATCACCGGTGCTCCTTTTGTGGAGTGGCCCAAGGATTCAGCTGTTTTCTAAGAGTCGGGACTAAAAGAATATGTTTGTATTCCGTTCACTCACTCTGGAGCTTTTACTAAGATAAACACGATTTGTCATGGCACTAAACAACCTGGTTATTTTAAAAGCCTGATAATACATCGATGGCTCACGGCAAATGCTTTCTCCTATTGAAATCTATTTAGAGATGTAATTTGGCATGTGCCCAATAAAAACATCGACAAAAGCCTGGCCTAAATTTTCCGCGTCGTCTTGTGATTAGGCCAGCATTATGGCCCCATGCATCACACATACAACCTGGCTATTTTTTAGCATTTTGTACAAACATTAAAAGGTATTTTTGTAGTGAATGAAAAAAATTTAAAGGGCTGTCATTATTTTGAACTAGAACACATGAGTAACAAACAATGTCTTAATGTATTTATAAAAAACTAAGCCACTAACTAACTATATTTATACTTCAAATAAAGTTTGGAACTACTGTATGTAATAAAATCCGTCTAGTTTGTTCCTTGCTCTCAAAACAATTTGTTCCGGCCCGGACTCTGAGGAGCACAGGGACAGGACTCCTGTTAGTGCCCAGAGTCAGAACTAAACATGGGGAGGCAGCATTTCAGATTCATGCTGCTAAAATCTGGAACAGTCTTCCTGAAGATGTGAGACAGGCCTCCTCTCTGACAATGTTTAAAACCAGGTTAAAGACAGTTCTGTTCTGCTGTGCATACAACTGAGGGATTTCACATGTTTATCTTTCTTTTTAATGTACTGTGATCGTTTATGATTTTAATGCAATCTTGTCTTGTTTAGCACTTTGAGTTGCCTTGTGTATGAATTGTGCTGTACAAAAAAACTTGCCTTGGTACTAACCTTAGTTTTCACATGTCTCTACATCAGCACGTTCAGACAGAAAAGTGAAAAAGAAAGGATCACCCTCAACCAATGATCTCTCAGTAATAGTGACTCATTATCTTTAAAATACTTGTAAGAAAGAGGACTAAGATAAAGACAGCATGTTGTGGTCTGATTTATTCACACAATGCTACTTTTATAGGACTTTTTCTAATGGGAGAAAAAACCCCCCCCAGCTCTTAGTACATTAGTTACATTTCCCGTTGGGCCGACTGAGAAGCAGCAGGCACAGGCAAACGCCATAAATGTCATCCGATCAATCAAGCGCTACATTTTAGACAGACTCCAGATTGTAAACTTTTCCAAACGCAAAATAAACAGACTATATCCTGTAGTTTTCACAGCTATTGCCTCAAACGCATACCCCACCGACAGTGAAAACAAGTCCGCCCCCCCAGCATCACATAGGAACACCATGGGGCCAGGGCAGTACAAACAAAAGCTGCCCCACACAGCACCACAGATGTGCAGTTACATGCGCTACACGCTTTCAAAAGCAGTCAACCTGAAAGCACACGTAACTCAGTGGGACATTAGGTTGATACAAAATGAATAATAAAAAATACACAAGTACATTTTCAGGTGAAACTCGGAAATTAGAATATTGTTCAAAAGTCCATCTACTTTACAATACTATACTTTACTATAATTCAACTTACAATGTGAGACTAATCCATGATACTTATCACAGGCAAAGTGAGATATATCAAGCATTTATTCATGTGATAATGTTGATAATTGTAAAAACCCCAAACACATTTGAATATTGAAATGCACTGTAACCCAAAAATATCCAAAAATAACCTTAACTTTGTATGTGATGCGTCTAGATCGTATAACATTTTCACATTTGAAGTTGAAATACCAAATTAAATGAACTTTTGAATGTTATATAGATAGCTGAGATTTCAAAGACGAACGGAGAGACAATGGCCTCACTCTGTTTGAAAAAGCATCACATTCATTTATTTTCTATTACTGTAATCTGTTTAAACCTAATATTTCATCAACTAACACTAAACGGTTGACAAATAAGAAGTAAAACAGAATTGAGTGAGGATCACCTGTCCCCTGGGGAGTTGAGGCCGCTCGAGGGACCGGAGTTGCTGTGTTCAGTGTTGTTGGAGACAGCGATGCTCTGGAAACAAAAGCAACAATACATTATAAGACTGAATATGTTTTCATTTGGATCTACAGTATATACAGTATAAAGTGGGTCGAACATATCTCACAAGGGGGATTGCAAGTGCATGCTAATATTTCATAGAAGAGGAAAACATTATGAAGGCATTGACGCATAACTCAGTGGTGCTCCCTTGGCTAATTGTTGTATAGTTATTGCGTACTGTCACATGTCTTTAAAGGAAGTGAATATGTCTTTGTGCTTGTGTTATCCCAGTATTAAAGTATAGGTCAAACACCATATAAAAGAATTTACATTGAAATCAAATAAATGTATTTTTTCTCTACTGTTTAAAGCTGGGGTATCTAACTTTATCAATTCATAAATAACACATGTTGTTTGTCCAGACAGGAAGAGTCTTAGAGTAGAAATAAAAAGTCCCTATTTGACTTTTTGGGGTGACAGTTGATGGGCTGAGTGAGTTTAGTCTATTTTGTTGCTTTTCTGTCTGAAAAATATTGACTATAGCCAACAAATACATGTATGTTAAATCTATAGAGATGGAACCAAAGTGATTTGAGAGTGATTAACTAGTTAAATGTATATTATTATATAGTCTTATTCTTTGTGGTGTGAAAATTAGGTATCCCAGCTTTAAAATTCTGTCTACATCCATTCTATGTAACCCCATTGATTCTTTGTTGTGTTAGCTCCTTGGTTTCTTTGAGCTGGTTATCAAAGGGGAGAGGGGAGGGCCACCCCACTCACCGAGGAAAAGCGTAGGGCCGGAATAGCCAGTCCGTTTGCGGCGTGTGGGTTTGCTCGTACCGTGGGGGGGGTCTGGGGGGCCTCGTGGGGGTCCTGCAGTCCAGAGGAGCTCAGATACCCGTCCGTCTCGCAGTCAGCTGTGACAATAAAGAGCATTAAGTGTAATCATGTGACCAGCCATTACATACATACAGCCATTACATACATGAGGCTAACCATGACCTGGACATACATTGGAAGAGAATTTTTCAACGCCTGACTGTAAGGACGTCATCTATTGTTCCGATACAATAAGTATTTGCTTTATTATATAACTGTGCCTAACGTAGCGAATAATTCTAAGTGTCCGAGTTAAATAATTGAACATGACAATATCACATTGCACTGTAAGTTTACAAAGCATGTCTGTCAAAGTGAAGAAATACAAGCTATTAGACAAACTAGTCCCAGTTCAATGGGTCTCAAGCTCTGCTGTAATGTGTGGGATGGTGATGGCCACGTTTAACCCCAGTTGTTTTTGTTCTACAGTCAACTAGGGATGTCACAAATTTAAATATCAGAAGCTTATTATATTAAAAAACACCACAATTTAACACATATTCACAATTATTGCCTCAAGAAAATTGGATTCTTTAATCTTCTTGAATCTTCTTTGTCGAACATGTCAACATTTCTAAAGTTCAAAAGTGATTAATTATGGAATATTGATTCAACTGTAAAATTTAAAAAAATATATGTTTCAAAAAGGAAAAATAAAGCCATGTTATCCTTTATGAGAAAGAATTGCTACTTACTGCGCTTGAAATACAACAAAATCTACTCGGAATTATGAGAACAATAGTTTAAATGGTTTTGCTTTCTGATCTACAATTATTACAATTACAATTTTTTTGTTAGATGTTACATAATATTAAATCAGTCAAACTCATTCTCCCATCTTTGAAACTTTACAACCAGGTAATAAAACTATCTTTTCCCTGGGACACTGTAAACACCAACACTGAACTTTGGCTTCTTACAATTAGCAGAGGACAAGCTGTTGTGGCGAAAATTGAAATGCTGGTCGGCCTCGGGCTCCTCCGGCTCAGGGGGGAAGGACGAACCCACCCCTGAGTCCGCCGAGCTGGTGACGGGGGACAGCACTGGGGCAGGGGGGCTCTGGATGGGAGGGAGTGGGGAGTCGGCTGCAGGGACACCGCTGACTCTAGGTGAAGGTAGCTGGTTTATCTCAGGCTCTTCTTCGATCGCTTCCTGTTCCTGTTTTCTTTTGCGTTCCTCCGCCACGCGTCTGAGCTTCTCCCGCTGTCGCTTGATGGCGGACACGCGGTCACGGATGGCTTTGGCAATGATCTTGAAGTCGGGCTCGCAAACGAAACCGAGAACCACCTGCGTGAAGAGAGCGATAAACTTTCAGAGATAGAGTTGACAATCTTCGGATATGATACAATTTAAAGATACGTTATACAGTACGTTATTTTTTTTTTTAGACGCATTTTTTAAAAATATTGTGTGAAAACGTCCCTAACCCTAAAAGTAGTCAAGTTATCATGTGTTTTCAAATAGTAATGGAAGTGACCAGATGCCTATAGTCTCCAAAAATTGATAACAAATATTATGGAGCGGACCGATAAAAATGAACCAATGGGATTCGTTCATCCCAAACGAACCAATGGGATGCGTTTACCCCTTTCACCCTCTTCCTGTTTCTCACGAGTGCGCACACCTGAATTATCGGATTTTCTAAAACCTAAAAGGGCTGAACAAAAAAATGCCAATTTCATGTTTGCCACCCACTCTCCCTGTTGTGAGGAGGGGGGTGTGGTTTCGAGTTGGTGCTACGGCTAAGCTAACAACATCGCTTACTGCACCTTTAATTACATCACAATTAATTACCAGTTATTTAATATTTCCAAAATTCCCCCATTTAACATCCTATGGAAATTTGCTGGAAACGTTGCAACCCTATTCAGAAAGTACAAGTTGCAAGTTCTATATACATTATTTATGTGACTAGAAATATTGGTACCGTTTACTACTGTAAGTTGTCTATCCATGTACTTTCAATGGTGCAGTAAATAAAATGGCTATCTAATATTCTGATTGTATTGTATTGTATGTGTAGATTGACTTTGTAATTGAGTATTTCTCCACTCTTCTCATGTCTGTTCAGTTAGGTTAATGTTGGGACAGACATTCACTCACCCGACTTTGTCACATAAACAAGCCTTGATCTTCCCCTTGTTCTTGCTGCTCTTGTTTTGAAAGCGAACAAACATTAACATTTGGTTTTTCTGTGCTCAACCGACACTTCAAAGTTAAAAGACGACGCCATATGTGCTGTCAAGCTATTTGTTTTCTACACAAAGGTTGTCAACGTGGAAAAAGCTTGCTGTCCCTTGTTTCCTGCAATTTTCAAACCAGAAATACAAAAAAATATTTCGAATTTTAGAGAAGTTCAGTCAGTGTACCAACGATGTCCTCCAGCATAAGTTAAAAGTTCACTGTCAATCATTTGCCCTCCAAGTCACTGGTCCCCTACAATTAAGAGATTAGCACAAGCACACACTGACAGACACTTCTTGTTCCAGAGAGTGGGAGAGAATGTCACAAAACAGTATGTGACGTGAACAAATATGTGTGAGAATGAAGAGGTGGAAGTCTAAAGTTTTTTCTTCTTCTCACTCCATTTCGAGGTTATAGTTGTAAATACAGTTCTGAATATAATGGTAAACATATAAACAATTGGTGAAACTATTACATGTTACTTTAATGTATGTATAGATCTATGCCTGTGTATGTGTATAATATATGTACAGTACGTGAATGTATGAGGAATGTATGAATCACTATTTCTGCTCAAATCAATGAATAAATAAATATGTGATAGGTAGGTTTTAACATAAATTGCTAAACTTTTCTGGTTGGTACAACAGACTTGTTCTTGTCGCGGAGATTTTACCTGGTATTGTATGTTATTTAATCACATATTTTTACTCAAAAACATGAATTCCTATTTAGGGTCGGCTCTCCTCTCCACAGATACGACTTCGAACAAATTGTGTGTCCAATGTAGATAGAAAAGTGTAATGCCATACTGTCTCCCTTGTATGAACTTCCAGGTATAACAAGAACATTTCGATGGACCAAAATCAAAAAGCAGACCCCCATCGTGCAGTAAAGTCAGCGTAAGGTACATTTGACATCCTGACAAAGTTGAAAAGCATTGATAAACAAGTCCTGCCAAACTGTTGGGGACAGTGTTTGGAGAAGCAGCCCGTCTATGCAGCCTTTCACCACCTGCTCCGATTACAGCACGCGGTCTGCACTGGATGTCCCTCCCGCCGATACTAAATTTGATCTTGTTGAAAAGCACCACAAAAGCGTAAAAGCGGCAGGTACAGTGGGTTTTCATTAAAAGTGACCTCCACAGAGCGGCCGGTGGAGGACATTTCACAACATACATGAAGGCCCGTTATATAAAGAAAGACCAGCAGGTTACTTCCTGGTGTTACGTTTCATAGCACTGGTGAGTAAAGACGATGGTGCCCTTGACGAGAAGAGCAGAGGAGGTATCAAAATGCACTGGCACAGTTTTTCCGATAGTTTCAGGACAGAGAATTGTGGACATTTTTATCATAATTGTCCAGATTAAATTGCATAAGTCTGCTGGAGATATCAAACAGCATTTTCTTCCTTGTATGAAATTATATACGGTCAAAGAGTGTTTGGGCCTGTGTCTTGTAGTGTGTTGTGCGTGTTACGTGTGTGTAATTGTGTGGGTTGTGTTGAATGAGTGAGAGGGGTTTGTGCCAAATAAGTATATGCTTCGTCCAGCCTCTTTTTCAAACGGTTTATTTCGGTGAATTTTGTGTGTCGTTTTTATTTTGTTTATTGTTTATCTTTTTTTCTTTTGCATAACATTTGAAATAAATTCTTACTATACTATAATAAAACATACATAAATTGTGAGTTAGCATCATTATCAAAATAAAGTTTTTAAAAAGCCACTTCAAAAATAAGCAACAACACCTTCCGAAGAAAAAAGTCCAGTAAAAGTCATTTTGAAAAGTTTTGAAAGTTTTCTAAATATTATCATGGTTTTCAAATAGCAGATTGGTTGCAAATTCCTTTAGATTATTATTATTATATTAAGTATGGTGGAACAAATGCATATACTTTGTCATGGTTTGGGCTTGCTTCGACTTAAATATAATGCATTATATAAAAAAAATAATAAGCAGACTGTTAACTTCGTCATTTCATGTTTTTAGAATGCAAAATAATCTTTTAATATTGATTCACTTATTCAGAGGATTAGTTTTAAGTTGCAGAAATGGTGCTATAGTCGTGTGTGCTTTCTCAAGAGGTCGCCGTGACTTTTCCTTGCTCAATATTATGAGTGGTCTCTTGGGAACACGTTAAAGCCAATGATTGTAAATCAAGTGTGGGACAGCGTGGATCTTCACTTCCCTTTATCTGTTAATCTGTAGCTCATTACCTTGTTTCCCACTAATGGCCATTGAAAAGTAGGTCACAGGAGACGCTGGGAGGACGTCCTGTTACTTTAATGTGTTAAGCAAATGTTTACAGAGTTTGCTTTTTAGATTTCTTCACATAACTTGACATAGTATTTGTAACACATTTGAATTATGAACGACCAGCCAGAATTATAGGCCCAGTTTAGTTATATAGAAACGTTTATATATAGACATGCATGGGTTTTTTGGCCTTTGTCATCTTTTTTGCTCATCTTTTTCAGACATATGGTGAACTCACACTCATTTAGCCACTCTCTTTTCAGCCCAGAGCCTCAATTTCTTTTCTCAAAAGTATGCAAAACCCTACATTTTACTTTTACTCTTTCTGTTACAGGACAGACAGCATGGGTTATACTGTATGTGAAAACAAAAGGTACTTCAGGTGTAATACTAAAACACTGGAATAAAATACTAAAAACATTATCCGAAAAATCTATGGGTATAAAATGGTTATTTTCACGGCATTAAAAGTATCCTGACACAACATTAGCCACTCCTCATTAGAGAAGTTGTATGACCTGTCCTGCTTCACTCAGCGGCTACACAGTCTCTGCTGCTGTGACATTTTATTACTATTGTTATGTTTAAGAATTATGTAGTAATTTGTTTTGTTTGTATGGATGGATGTGTGTGTGCGGTTACAGGCCAACTGAATTTCTCCTACAGTCATCTATCTATCTATCCATCCATCTATCTATGTATGTACTAACATCTCTGTATCCAAACATTCTTCCAATTTGAAGTTCTCATAAGCACAATGAGCTTCTCACCATCTCCTGGGCCACCTCCTCTGGGACATCCTTGTACAGCTCGAACAGGAACTCGATGGCGTTGTTGTCTTTGTATTTCCCGTGCAGTTTCTTGGTGTCGTCCATCCTCAGCCACAGTTTGAGTTCGGGCTTCAGCATGTCGTCTTCTTCGGCCAGTTCCACGTGGACGCCATTGTTCTCCTGGAAGAACGGGTGATCCAGCAGGTCCGGGATAGTGTACCTGAAGATCGGAAAATGGATTAGAATTGAGAGGGATGGGACAATAAAGAAAGTACTTAATTTTAAGCATGTCACAACATTTAATATTTCAGGCCCGTTTTCTTTCCAAAACTCAGGGAAAAGTTGTATATTTTTCTATGTAGTGATGTGATTGACTGATGTATAATTTTAAAATGGGAGAAAAAAACACCAGAAACACTAATAGTGATATGGTGTTATAATAATACTGTATCCCCAACCATATCAAAATAAAACCATGGCATGATCATGGGAAAATGTACCTCTCGTCATTGTTCATTCGAATACAGCCTTCGATGATTTCCTTGAGTTCTGGGACTTTCACTTTGTAGAAACTATCAGGCTTAATGCCCTGTAAGAGAAAGAGAAGACCATGTCAAAACTGTCAAACTGTCAAAAAATAATGTCTGATTTGGGTTTTAGTGTGAATATGTCATATGTCTGTGTTCAAATATCCAAGAAATACATTCACTCAAAAATGCCACTTGACACAAAAGCTTCATTATTGACAAAGAAAATAAAAACTTTGGGAGTAGATGAGTTTGGTTTTTCCATCACAAACTCACATCCGTGTCCATCTCTGCGATAACAATGATAAGAAAGAGAGGTCATTTGGTGCGGACGCCTGACGTGACTGCTGACAACAACAGAGCGACTTCAAATGGACGATAGTGCTCAGTCACAGAAGGAGCTTGGAGTAGAGCCGCTGCTTCTCTACGTTGAGAGGAGGTGGGAGATGTTTTGGGCATGTTCCAGTGGGACCCAGGACACACTGAGGTGACTCAAGGTTGACCTGGGAACGCTTTGGGATTCCCTTATCTTATCTAATCTTGTCTTTTTTTTATTTTAATTTAATTAAATTTTATATTGAACCTGCACAATAGACATTTTAAAAAATGTCCATATAACAGAAAAATAACTGTATAAAAATACCAAGTGACATTATTTATGCTAACAGTAAGTACAATTTAAGGCCCTTTTGAAAAGACATCTGTTGCATGTTGATTTGAACATTTATGTCAGTCGTGTGACCAAAATACTGTATTATAAGATAAGATAAGATAAACCTTATGCTACTAAGGCTTAGATTAATCTCATTTTTTTCCCAGTGTTTTCAGAATATTTCCAGGTCCTTTGTGCAGTGTGTGTGTAGGTATGTATGTACTTGGTGTGTGTGTTCATGTGTGTGTGGGGGGGACTGTAGGTTAATGTATCACTTGTTGTGAGCAGCATGCTGGACTGACTCCAGGAAGAAAGCTGTACTTGTTACAGCCAATGGAGATCAAATACATACAAACACCTGGTTCGAGAAAATCTTCTGAATATGAAAGGGCTCTTGTCAAGTTAAATAGTTTTACACAGATTCCACAATGATTAATACTACTATTTACGTCTGCCAAGTTACTAGCCTATTCTTGTTTGGACTAGAAGTCAAATTTCCCACACACCACACTTGTTCAGTCATGTATAATAAATATAATCAATAAATCATTACTGGATAACTGTTTCCATGAGACTTTATATTCTATGTCAGATGCCAATTCTAATTCCAATCATCCGGGCTTGACCACACTACTGTAATTGTATGAACCGAGTGTTTTATGTCCTTTTGAATTAAATTAGCCCTTGCTTTAGTTACGCACCATTATTACATTAAAATGCAGCATTTTATTGGAAGAAAGGTAGTTTTAAATCCTTCTCCAAAGCCCATTAACAATACTCACTTCTGACTTCGGAACATATGGGTCACGTCCAAAGACCTCTTTCAAAAACAAGCCGCTATAAAACAAACTTTATGTGGATTTTGAAGACGGGAGCCATGCTGGAGGCTCGTCACTTTTGGAGGTGCTGGACAGCGCCAAGCAAAGCCACGGTGACGCCACAGAGGGACGCAGAGCAGACGGGTGCAAGATTTCTGTGTTTTGGAAAATATGTCTCAACTTTTAAATCCACAAAGGCCACAGTTTCTCTAATGTGTGGTGGGCCGCAGCGAACAGGAGCTGGCAGAGGCTGGAAACGTGTGACAATGCCAACACTACTGCAAAAACAAGAGGAAAGATGTATTTTTGAAGTGTTTTGTAAGTAGTTTAATATCTAATCACACTTAAAATGAATTTGGGTTTCTAATAAAAACAATTCTAGGTATTTCTGAGTTTAGTCTGGAATATTTTAAACCATCACTGGAAAAAAAGTTTTCTGAAATATCATAGAGCGAGTAATCATTGTTTATCAAGCAAACAGACTAACAAACTATACACAATTAATTAAAATGAATTAAATGAATAAATTAAAATGAAGGACAAAACTACAAACATGTTTTATTTATTAATTTGTTATTTTAAGTACTTAGGTAATAAAGCTGGGGTACCTAACTTTCTTAGGTAGTAAATAATATTACTATTATTTTCTTTGAGTGTTGTAAAAAAAAAAAAAAAAAAAACAAATCTGTATCAATCAAGTCACTATTTGTCACTTTGGGGTGAGAGCTGATTGGCTAAGGAGTGAGGAAGGTCTTCTCTTGTTCCCTTTTCGGTTTAAAAAAGCTGATCTAAAGATATGACAGAGACCAAACAAACATTTGTGTGAAAAATAGTGGCAGAACAAAAAAGTTTTAAAGCCAGGAACAAGTTAAATGCATTTTTTCCCCACATTTTTATTTTGTTCCATTGTTGTTGTTTGACAGTTAAGGCTATGTACTAGAATTTCACAAAATCCATTCGCAATCAAGCTACATTACTACGTGGACATATCTTTTTCCACTTTTGCAAAGGAGATTTAAAGCTGCCGAATGACGCAAAAACACAAAATCACGTTGAGTGTCTGGCTTTCATTTTTATTGCCTTTGTAGAGTCTATTTGGCATCTGTTTACTGTGTTTCATTACACCATAAACACCAGTCCATAAAATCCTCACACTGTTACAGATTCATGTTTTGTTTGGAGATCCTACACAGAGATAGACTAACGCAATTTAAATCTGCTCTTTTGGAAACGCTTTACAGTTCTTTGTCCTCTTTGTGGTTGGATACACAGTATTGCAATTCATGTTTGAGATGAACACTGCGTTAAAGCCTACAGAGAAATAAAAAAGGAGAATATCACACCCCTTCTTCTTATCTGGACATCACTTATCACAGGAGATAAGAGAGAATTGGATTAGGGCAGATTTATTTATTGATATGGTCCAGTATGTGTCCTGCTTACACAATAGGAACTGTTTTATTGTGGAAAATGCCAGTAATACGAATCAAATTACATACAGCTGAAGCTTCACTCAAATGATAAAGTGCTGGCTGTAGTCACATTAAAGTAATAGCATACTTTGCGAGAATGGCCAATTTTATAGTCATTTCTACTGTTTTTTGTTTCTATTGCTTGACAAATAGAAACTATTAGTTCTTAGTATTTATTCATCTTTATTCATACTAGAAGAAACAGGTTGCTGAAATGCTGCACGAGTCTGTTTAGAAGTCTAAGAAGTATTACCCAGGTGCTCTTCTGGTCGGGGATCAGCCAAAATGCTTCAAGCTAAGATCTGATAAAGACGTTTTAATTGTTTCAACTCCCATGAATGCTTCTGTCATCTCTGAAATAACTTCTTAATACTTTTTTTAATCTGCTTGTATATTGGGTAATTGTTTTCGTATGTACAGGTATAACTCAGAAAATCATAATATCGTTCAAAAGCTGATTTTCTGTATGTTTACTAAGACACCTGGATGTAAACAAGACAGAAATCCAAAGGCATAGATGACCAACTTCAAACATTGATCAACATAAATCCCTAGTACTATCTCATAATTTACTTTCTCAGACATTGTAAGACGTCATAAATTGCTAGACTTGTGAGTGAGATGGTTTGCAAAGAAAAAACTTGGAGGAAAAAGCTTGTACGGCAGAATTTATCTAATTTGGAATGGTAATGCAAAAGCTTTTAGTTGTACATGAATACACCAGTTGCGGTCCATCTAATCCAGCCAATTTAGTCTCTCTCGAGTAACGTTACAACGGAAAATAGTTGCATCTGCGTCATGACTGGACTGCTTATATGAGGATATACACTCTGAGCCTGTAATGGACACATGTAATCCATTATTAGACAAAACTGAGCTTCTTTCCAAATGGATTCTTTTTTTTGCAACTTTCAGGAAATCCTTGAAGGCCCCCTCTTCCTATCGACGGCATATGCTAACGATTATGCTAAACGCTGGTGAAAATGTAGCGTTAAAGGCACTTACGCTGGTGACTTTGCGGTAGATCTGCGCGGCGTTTTGGCACTCGGAGTACGGGTATTCGGAGGTGGCCATTTCCAGGATGCACATTCCCAAGGCATAAACGTCCACGGCCTCATCGTACTTCTCTTCGTACATCTCTGGGGCCATGAATTCAGGAGTTCCTTCACAAGAGATACAGACATTTATAGCAAAAGAAGGATAGGTTATAGTTTTCCTCAGGATTTCAACCAAACCAATGACCAGTTAAATCAATATAGGTCTGCAACATAATAATAGAGAAAGCAACATGAAATACACACATTTATAACGCACCTTTTTTCTCATTAAACACATAAATATTCTGGATTGTAAAAGAAGATTTGTGATGAAAATAAGAGCACTACTACAACAGCAATCTTCATCTTAAAAACAAGTAAGAATGTATCTATTGCGAACTTATAAGAATTAAACACTGAGTCATTGAACTGGTTGGCTAAACAAAGTTAGCAAAGTTAGCCCTATCATTGATGTATTCATTCTTACGATAGAATACACACATACACACACACACACACACACACGATATTAGGATGTGACTATATGAGTGAGTGAGGGCCTCTAAACTTATATCAAATGTATCTAGAGACATACCGAATGGAATTTTACCTCGGAAATTGTCTATACTGTTTTGAACTCACAGTGCGATGTCATGAGCTATTAGACAGAAGGGACGGAGCTACATGTCTGTGCCAGAAGTTTCTGATGTTAGCGTGGATGTATTTAAAACATCTCCAGGTTTGTTTTTGATGAGGGAACAATGTATCATGGTTAAAATCTCTACAAGTTGATGTTGCATAGTACGTCTCCTTTAAGGCAAGATAAATATATATTCCTAGTTCCTCCAAATGTCTAGGGCAGCCATTCCCAAACTCAGTAACACCGAGGCCCCCTTAAAAATCTGACGGGTCTGCGTGGCCCCCCAAAATATAACCAACAAGACAACATTAAGAATAGGCTCTTCTGGTTATTTTATTTTGGGGAAATAGCCTCTGCTACAAACATTGTAATACAAACATGATTACAGTGGATTATTCAAGTCAAATAATGAACACAAATATTTTAATATTACAAACAAAAGATTATAAATTTAACATTAAATAATTATTTTTATTTTTTTATGACCTCCCGCGGCCCCCCTGCAGTACCCTCGCGGCCCACCAGGGGGCCGCGGACCCCACTTTGGGAGACACTGGTCTAGGGTATAAATCCATCAAAATTATCATCACACACATTTGACGCATGGATCCCCAGTTTTCTTGCTTAAACAAAAGCCATAATGACCATAATCTTACTGGTATGGACATCTATGCACTCACCGATGACACTTTTAGCGAAGGAGGCACTTTTGAGCGTGGCGAGGCCCAGGTCCCCAATCTTGACGGAGCCGGTGGGGCCTGTGATGAAGATGTTGTCACACTTGAGGTCCCGGTGGATGATGGGAGGGGTGCGAGTGTGCAGGAAGTGAAGGCCTTTGAGGATCTGTCGGCTCCAGCGCTGCAGCAGCTTCAGCTTCATCTCCTTGAACCTCTTCAGGTACCTTAAACAAGAGGTTCAAATAAACAGCTCAGTATAAACACAGCGGGAGAGGAAGGTACATCAACATTGGGTCTGTTTTACTTTGACATTTGTTTTTAGTTCCATAGCGACCGGCGACTGTTTTTATCACCAGACTGGCTGATTCTAGGGGATTTCATCTTTATATATATATATATATATATATATATATATATATATATATATATATATATATAGTAAAAATGGATCATTGTCATTTGATATCTGTAAAACATGTCCAGCTCAAAAACTGGGACTCCAATAGATAGATTTATGACAATGACAATCAATAGAGTGAATTAATCCTTATTACTTCCAAATGTATTATTTTTTCTCTAACAAAATGAAGTCAATCTGATTAGCATACAACTCAATTCATAAACCTAATCCTAGCCCTAACCATGAGCTGAAATATGTATAACTAACACAATACATGCTGATTTCAGATTCAGATTCAATATATTTGCCATCTGCAGTAAAACCACATTGGAATACATTTGCATAAGTCCCCACGAGTACATACATATACAAGAGCTCTGGTGACTTGAGTCTGGTATAAGTGCGTAAATGGGAACAAGAAATAAGCCTTCAGAATACAAAAACAATATATACACCTTGAGAAAATTGAGTTTACGTAACATTGAATTGATAAAAATCCAATGGTAATTAACAATGGAAACACAAAGTGGGCAGAACTTCTGGAATCAAGATGTAAAGTTCCCCAAAGAAGTTTCCAAATATCAAGAGTTTGAAGACACAAGGGGTGAGCTAACTGCCTGATAAACACTTTCCACAGTACAGCATTTTCAGCGCACAAAAATAAGCACAATGAAAACTTTAAATGTTGGCATAATGATATCAGCACTTTGCAGATTAAAGACAAATCTAAACCTTACTCCAGAAGTAAATGGTGATTTTAAGGCGGTAATTAGTGATCCATCTTTTACAAACACACTTTAGATATCCTGGGATTTAGCTCCATATGGCTAGATGGCTCTATACGGATGACAGAGTGTCTTATGCAACATTTTTCTCACGTTTTGAGCGTTCCTGAGGTCATGAGCTCCGTCACCAGGATGATGCACTTGTGGCCCGTCACGCAGGACTTCCAGGAGTCGTGGAACCGGACGATATTCGGATGCTGCAGCCCTTTGAGCATCTCCACCTCCTCGCTGAACCGCTGCCGCTCGGCTTTGGTCAACTTGCGGGTCTAAAACAGAAGAGAAAATGGATTTGTTAGCTTTAGGTTAATAGTTCATTTATAAATTGTCTTTGCACATACAGCTTTGTGTAACTTGAAATAAGAGTCAGGTACTATGGCAAGTCATGTGGATCAATAACGCGTGTCGAAGTCTAAGTCTAACAATATAGGGTAAGAGAAAGTAAATAAACACATCTAAATTTATATTTTACTGCTTAGGATCTTATTGAAAGTAGTACAAGTTGATGTGTAAAGGTGAAACTTGAAAAATTAGAATAGTGATAAAAAGTGAAGGTATTTCTGAAATATATTTAAACCAATACATGATACAGACTGCAAAGTGACATATGTTAAGACTTTGTGTTTTTTACAATTTTTGAAAATACTGTAATTTTTTATTTGAGTATTTTACATTTTATAGTATTTTATCAACACTATAACATGGTTTATACAAGTTCGTCACATTCAGTTTCCCATTTCAAGTTGAATCACAGATGTGCATGGAGATTTGAATAATATTCTAAGTGTCTAAGTTTCACCTGTAATTACCTCCTTAACATGTTTCGGCTTCAACAAAAGACATAATATAATAAAAAATCAAATTGTCAAGTGAAAACAGTGGGTGGCAGTGAGCATTATCATTTAAAAAAATACCAGTGAATTAGTTTCGTCTTCCGCACTATATATTATGAGCCACATTCGCTGCTGATTTCCTGAGCTGAGAAATCGGATTCCGATTACAGCACAAACATTACTGGAGGTACACTGCCTAAATGGGCCTACAGACAGGTAAGATTACATAAGATGATGGACATTTTTGATAAATTGCTGTTTCTTTACTCAATGACACATACTCTGCAGATGGAAACCACATGCTTGGGGACCCTCTGCTTTGCTCTTACATAATCGCATTTTTCCAATAGGGGTCTTGACTCTGTACCCCTCAAAGGAGGTTTCCAAAATTCACGCAGAATTGGATCCAACAAGACATTTGTGTGCTTCCTCATGCATGAATGGGACAATTTAGGTTAAGTCTACCTTCAGGGGTGGTTAGTGGAAAACTCCTTTGAGACCTCCGCAAGCATGAATCCGGCATTGAGGTGGAACTCTAGGAAAAAATGGCTTGCATATGTTTACAGGCACAATCAAGTCAACCACCGCACTTTGCTCCAGCGGTCCTCTTTCCAGGTAGAGGAGAAGCCACTAATGTCACTGTATCTATAGAGTGTTTCCCTATAGTTGAGCAACTTCAGACAACGTACACCGTGTATTAGAATCCACCGCTCAGTAAACTTGAACTTGAAGATTATCTATGGAAAGGTTTTAGCACATTTCAACATTTTCAACGATGGCATCTGGGTAGAGTAGTTCAAGACGTAAGAGTAAAGTTAGGATTTAATAAAGTAAAAAGTAGTGTTCCAGTAGTGCATAATTAGTATTTGGGGAAACTACTGCTAAGAAAAAAATAACAGTTCCCATGTTTTAGATACTTTAAAAATAACACCTGGGAAAAAAAAATTATAAAATTGATAAAAAATGTATGTCAATATATGATACATTTTACAAAAGTCTTGTAAAAGTAACAGTTTGTGATCAAATCAGACCACAGATCTAATTAGAAAACATGTAATCTTGCATACTTGTCTGAAGAAGCTGATCTAAAGATGTGAAAGGTGCAAAAAATACATGCAAAACTAGTGATAGAACCAAACAGTTTTACACCGATTTTAGTTCAAAGCTCAATGATTTGTCACAAAGATTTGAGCTATGTCCATATTCCTGGCTCTTTCTTGAAGTTAACATATGCACAAGTGAGCACTATGTCCATAATGTCCACACTGCCCTGCCCGGGTTTCCGCTTGCATCCTGTCCCGTGTTTAAATCCTGTTTAATGGCTCCTTTCACCAACATCCGTCACTTGTCAGAAGCTGTCAGGTTACATCATGTGATGATCATAGAGACACACAGAGACACACAGAGACACACAGAGACACACAGAGACACACAGAGACACACAGAAACAGAGGTCAACAGTGGAGGAGTTATGAGGCCAGAACAAGCTCTCAAAACATATCTGTCAAAGAGAGGAGCCATCGCTGATTAGAGTAAGTTAGGTGCCACCAACACAGCTTTTCAATACATATTTGCATAAGGTTACAACGTTATTTGTTTAAGTGCTTGAAGTCTTTTTCATAGACTCAAACATGCTGAGAAGTTGTATGACCCAGATGATTTATAATGACTGCAGAACAACATGAAAATGTTTTTTTTAAATAAAAGTATTTTTATTCAAACAACCCAATGCATAACATGTCATCTCTATGAAGATGTTCTCCAGGGGAATCACTTGAGCTTTGTTCTGAATATCCTTAATTCAGAATGTTTATCAGAACACAAGTGATGTACTGAAATTAAGACAGGCAATTTCTCACTTGAAAGAGTAAATATGGCAAATATTGATAAAAGACAGATGGATTGTACATGGTTCAAGATAATTTTTTCTATGTGTGTCTATGTCTAGAGAGAGACACACATTGTCTAAGGCCAGTATTTTAAGTTAATATAGACAGAAACTACTACTATTGGACATGGATATTTCACCCAACTCATCTTTCATTTTTCAGTGAAATTGACCAAAACATCAGTTTATAAATTACAATGAATGTGAGCTGATAAGATGTTATCACTCAGGATACCAACAGCCCTTTGCATCTGTAACCAACTCACATCAACCCACGAGTTTGTCATTGGAAACTGGAGGCCGCAGTTCAAGAGTTGCCAATTTCAAAGACAACTTTTGCATGAGAACATTTAAAAACATTGGTCTAATTTGTAACTTTGCACGGCAAGATATAGACTGGATAAATGCATTTGCTTACATAAATGCCAATAAAGGAGCTTTCAAGTAATGTCAAATCAAAGCTCTTACAGGCATAGCAACTTTGTAAGATGCCGCACTCACCGGAGTTATCATTGCACTAATACCAAAAATAAACATTGTAATTTGAAAATTATCAAAAAAATGTGTTTTGATTGTCCATGTGCCAATATTCATTCCTACAATTATCAAATACTGAATTCTAAGCAGAGTGGAAACCTGCAGCGGTAATTACTATAACAATCTACGAACAGACAAAATAGATGCCACTATTTCACACAACAATGAGAAGGTGTTTACAAAATGTGAAAATTGGGCATCATTATGTCAAGTGTGGAGAATGATATACTTTTGTTGTCACAGATGGGCGTTCTAAAACACATTTTCAACAATGTGAGCTTAGCATAAAGAGAGTTTGTGGAAAGCTAAAGTTACAGTATTATGATCTTCCCAGGAAAATAAAATGTACCGCCCATCACAAACAAACAAACTCCACATGCCAATGCTAAATAAACGCAAACGTTATTATTATATCCTGATCACCAAAACCTTACCTATAAAATTTGCTTTATAGATTTTCCTATACAGCATGCATTTCATCTTTTCCAGCAATCTTTGACCTGCATTTTTCTCAACATGCAGCAGAGTAAAGGAACCCAAAACAAATGTCATAACCCTACGTAAGCAACACATGCAGGAGCCGTAAAAACAAACTGACTGCTTTGAAAGTGCTAATAGATGGAAAACACAGGTACTTAGCCCATAGAGACGCACTGTGTGTTTTTCACATTATTATCCCACAACCAATGATTGTTTGTACATGAAAACATGATTATATTGGTTAAAGTAGCATTATATAATATTGCATGTCATCATTAAATATTTCAAAAGGCATTATTAAATCATGCTCTTTTCGAATACATCTTTAACTCATAACAGTAGTTCAGCCGAGATATTTGAATATCAAAATTAGTTTTACTAATTGTAAAAGTTGTTATTGTTTTCACTTTGATGTCCTACCGTTTCACCAATCAGGAAGTCCGACATCAGGGTTGCCAGAACTCCCCGCGGCTAGCTATCGCAGCGGTAAAAAAGCATATGGCCGCAGAACTAAAAAATGTCTGGTTATGACTCTCAAATCATTAATGACAAAACAAAGACTAAAACGAGGATTTATATCGGGATGCCTTTGAAAAATTGAGACAGCGGATAAAAGTTTTTGTGTGATGCAAAAATTGCTGCTTTGAGTGCGTTTTTCATTGACAATTAAATTAGCTGCCTCCACAACATAATCAATTGGGTGTAACAGTGGTCTAATGGTGCTTGCACTCCAGCCGCCGGATTCGAGGCCGGGCAGAGTCTGTTTGTATTTAATTGCATAATATCACATTCTATGACAGAATGCTCAAAAACAGGTTATTTTTATGCATGTTAGCAAAACTTTTTTTTTTTTTGGAAACTATGATGGACAAGAGGTGACTTGTGCCTTATGTGAAATGCCTGAAAAGAATAAATAAACAAACAAATCGTTTATTGCAGATTATAGCTTATTTGTCAAGAAAATAATTTGAGACCACATGTACCCCAATTAAAATTATGTTAGTCTCTATTTGATGTGGGACTTATACATGTATGTCTAAAAGATAGGAAATAAATAAAATTGAAAGGTATATCCTCTGGAGGAAACCCTGATGTTGATACGCTGAAGAAATATGTTCCAACATCCATTCTTCCCACTCCTATTTTGGACATCAATTGCTTATTTATTTTGCATTATCTATTTTTTTTAATAATTAAATTGCTTTTATTTTGTTTTTCTCATCTCAAATGTCCAAATGAAAAACAATATATATATATATTCATTCAAAACATTCTATCAACATTAGCACGGCTCATGGCAATTTGAATGGAGACAGACAAACAACTGATAAAATAATTCCTTGTGTTTGCTGCTGGATTTGGTGTGTATCTGGCAACCTGAGTCAGGGAGAGTGGGAGAGGACTACAAAATATTGGGTGTGACTGCAGTACCACTTTTGGCCAGATTTTTTACATAATGCTCCTTTAAAGCTGGGGGACCTAACTTTCAAATCACAAAAATGGAGCCATTTAATAAAATCCATGTAACCTG